TACATCACCTCCAAACCGATAAATGTTGAAAAACTGCACTCCCTAGATGCACTCAAACTGGATTCGGGGAGGAATTGTTAATTATTGCCAATGTTTTAGCGTTGAATATCGTCCGTTAAAGTAGTCAATAATTATTGTTGTGTTTGTTTCTGTCAAATTGTGTTGTGTTTTACTGGAAATCTTTCCTAGCCCAAAGCAGGAAATTTTACTGCCTCGTGCAGCCATACATGACAGAATCTCATTTTTCCGTAGATTCCTCATCTGGGAACCAAATGCGGACGAATTGCATTATAATAATGAGCTAGGGGATTTTGGGCTGTACTCAATTACGTTTCTGGAAATTATGCAGTCCATCTACGGCTCAAGAGCTCTGTCAGGATGCGACAGTCGCAGACAGGCGCATTACGCTGTCCGGAGCAAAGCCTTGCGTTAAAACGGGGCACTTTTGTGGCTTCCATACCATCCCGGGTACAATGAAGTTGTCTGAAGATGAGGATATCCAATGGTATGAAAATTTTTGATGAATTAAATTTGCCGAGAAAATGATATGGGTTTTTGAAGTCCTCTTGCACCCAGACAAAGTTAATATCTTCTATCGAGAAAACGTCATTAAATTTACATTGAAATTTGATCTTTGATGTTGATGGGTAAATTTTCAGAAATTGGAGGATTGAAAAACGAAATCTCAGAATAGAGTTCACACATCTTCGTTGATGAGTAATTAAAGTTAACATGTAAGTGATGTAACACAGTTGAAATGAAACTAGATACTATATTTCAAGGTAAATTTGTGTGTTTCTATGAATGTTTAACACTCGAATGTACAGAAAAAGGCAAAAAATTCAATGTTAACTGATACGTGCCCAATGTGAACGAAAAACCGAGAAATATTACATTTATCGCGTGATAATTTCTAAAATGGATTTGATGCAAATAATAATTGTCAGCTTAATTATTGGACTTCTGAATATTTAAATTTCATTACTGCAATTTACTCGGTCATGTACACATAAAGCGAAAACGCGATACATTAATCTATGGTCTCTGTGTGAACGCAGCAGAACAGGCTGGAGATCAAGACCATCTCAGGAGTTTCCTTCAAATCCGCTGGCGATGAGATCGCTCCCGACCTCAGCCATCAATCCTGTATGCAGATTGGCGCTGGTCGATGAGACAGGCTAGAATGGAAGTCCTGGCAAGAAAGTCGCGTTCGTGACTGAAGCCTGATGAATCTTTATAAGAAAACAGAAAAGAATAATAGACGACCGGCCATAGGCCGTTCAATTGGCGTCCGGTTGGTTAGATGTGGGGCCTGGCAACGGAGTCGCCCTTTCTGAAAACAAGAGTAGCCTGATGGTCAACCAAGACAATAAGGCTTATGATTTTTAGTAAGTAGGTTAGATCAAAATGAAGATCGTGCCGCAGTTCATCAAGCTATTGGCTGCGAGATATTAACAGCTATAAATTGATCACTTACCTGGACGGGCAAAAAATTTTCTGTCGGATCATTGTTCCAGACCATTTGAAATCTCATGGTTTAAATGCATCGTTCTTTCGTGAAGAAAGAATTATAGTGATTTGTAACTATCTGTCCGGAGAAGATTTTTATAATAAATCAACACCTTTTCAGAAACAGAACAGTATAAATCGTGGGTGACGCCGCATTTTCAAGGATCATGATAAATACTTGCAAATAAGACTTTTAATCTCAAACTCAGACCTTTTAAAAAATGAATCTCCTGTAACCAAACTTACATCCAGCACAGACCACAGAGGTTCTCAAACTGTATAGAGCGTACTACTGGCGGCAGGCGAGGGTCTTTCAGGTGTTATGCAGATACTCACAGTTTCACGAACGATTGTAAGTTAATAATTTTTCATTTCACATAGCTTAGTTCTTCCAGACAGAAAGTCTGTCAAAGATTTATAATTTGTGCAGGACGATTTATAATTGATGGGTACTTGGTCTCATCGGTCCTCCGTTAAATTCAAATAGTACACATAATTAATTTGCTAATTATTTCCGCATGATATACGATATAATACAAATAATAATGCGTAGCAGCAGCAATTACGAAGTATTAAAGGTAGCCGGGCGACTGTGTAATTACAGCTATTCGATCACAAAAAACTAGGAAACCATTGCTCTACATTTAGTTCCCGGTTTAAAAATTCTTGATATTCTTAATGATTCGCCGACTGTTCCTCATATTTAAGTATGAATTAACCGATCATATCGTCTCAGTGTCGGCGCCTGAGCTGAATGACGAGCTCGAGCATGTGGCGCCCACACTCGAGTTGCGCGTGGGCGGAGTGCACGGTTGTGTGACTCATGCGTCGCCGTCCTACAGGACCGGGCGCTGCGGCAACTAGGGCGAACCCGCATATACGTGGCCCGAGGTTAACCCTGAATCTAACCTGTTATCTAAAAGATTCGCACAGTTATATGAAAAAGGAATTTAATACATTTATAAAGACTGGATTATATTGTTCTTTACAGGGTATATATCCGGATAACTTATTTTCTTATACACAATATTTTAACCCTGGATCTAACCTGTTATCTGATGTTGAAGATTCGCACAGTTATACGAGAGGAGAATTTAATACATTTATAAAGACTGGATTGTATTGTTCTTTACAGGGTATATATCCGGATAACTTATGTTCTTATGCACAATATTTTAGCCCTGAATCTAACCTGTTATTTGATGTTGAAAGATTCGCACAGTTATACGAGAAGGGAATTTAATACATCTATAAAGACTGGATTATATTGTTCTTTACAGGGTATATATCCGAAAACTTATTTTCTTATGCACAATATTTTAACCCTGAATCTAACCTGTTATCTGATTTTAAAAGATTCGCTCAGCTATACAAGAGGGGAAATTATTACATTTATACAGACTGGATTATATACTTTTTTACAGGGAATTATCCCGAAATTATTATCCGCATAACTTATTTTCTTATGTAGAATATTTTAAAAAATTAGGAACGTGCAAGATTTCAAGATAATATATGGCAGTGATATGTGCAACTTTTCAACACTAGTGTATTATAATAGCAAAGCTTAAGGCAACTCCTAAACTCAGCTTAAGAAGTGTCGCTCAAGGCACGATCATGCAGTATAAGATAGGGCCTTAGATGCATGAGAGCCGGCCGTCAATCGGCAGTGAGGTGGAAGCCGAAATTCAGTGATGAAATTGATAGATTACATATTTTTATCTATTCTAATCCCAGTATTAAAAAAAAAGTTTATAAGTGCAATACAATTGCCAACGGATGAGCGTCATTGAACAATTTCTTGACTATGTATATGTAATTTTTTCAATCCTTGTCCTTTATACAAGTCAGCTAATCTGAGCAGTTCAATATAATACATACGGCACGAGTATCAATGCATGAAGTTCCAGATTTCAAAAATGAATTTTGAAATTTCGGTGCTTTATATAAGTCGGTTATTGCAAACAATATAATGCATTTTGGATAGCTAACCGCTTCAGCAAGATCATGCAGAAAAAAATAAAGTTGCTTAAGAAAAAATAAGTATTGTAACAAGCTTCACTTCTCCGACTTAGTTGCTCCCAAGTTACTGTGCTATAATTTGTCTAACATGCTATCCATTTTTGTGATTATTCGTTTCGTCTTTTTTCATGTTTATTAGCTGTGCTGAGTTTTCTGTTAAATAAATTTAAAGCAGTGTTTCTTATTTCAACTATTAGAGCATTTTTATACGTGGAAACCACGACACTTTCAATGATTTCACCATCACTGTCTAATTGTTTTAAATAGTTTCGGAGTAATATATTTGATTGTGTCTGCTCTTTGATAATGGTAAGCTGAAAAATGTGGGCTTTAGCGCGTTCTGACTATGCTTTGTTTAGCGTAAGTTATATTTTTAACAGTGTATATCAACTGGTTTATCTTAAAATATAATCTGTATATGTATATAATATAATTGAAACTTGAACAAAGTTTTTTCATTAAAATAATTTTTTTCCGCCAAACGACAGTCGAAGCTTCACACATCAGGTATAATTAAGGTTAAGTTTACTTCGAGTATAAAAAACATGGTGAATTTTATTACATATTCTGTTTGACATTCGCTGTTGTCAAGGGCTTCACTTTAGTGCGCGACGTGTGGGCGACAAGGAAGATATCTTTTAGGCTTCAATATGCATTATACGTTGATGTAGCGCGCTATGCAAAGGCTATATTCCCTTCAGTGAATGTTTACTGTGTAGGTCATGTTCTTGGGTTAATGCGCATTACAGTTTACGAATTAATTGTAGTTGACTATTCAGCGTTAAAAAGTGATTTCAAAACTGGCACTTCTGGTCGACAGATTGGAGAATTTGGTTAAACAGACTTTGATCAATAACATTTCTGAAGCCAATCAGTCACGTACTGTAGATATAATTTAATTATAGGTCAATTATTGTCAATTTCATAGATCTAGATCCTTAATATCGATCCTATCTAGATCCTTAATATAGAATATTTTGATTTGTTTAAAACGTTACTAAAATGGGTTTTAAAATACCGCATTTTAAACACAAAATTTATCGAATAATTATTCTTCGTAAGCTTATATGGAATTATGAACATATGCCATTGAGTACTGAGTTTCCACTCTCTATCTGACCTCTCAGCGCCAAGCTCCTTGATGAGTCACCAGATCAATGTTGAACACCTGTTGTCTACTAGGGATTCTAAACAGCCAAATTCATCCGATTCGTACTTCCTAATATAATGCCGTGAAATTTGTATTGATATTCTCTTTAAGCATGGTAACATTTGCGTGAAAAACATACCTACTTTGGTATGTATCCTCCTACGTGCACCTGACTCAGACGAGCGTAGGATAGACCTTAAAGGAGTTACGCCCGTAGCTCTAAAAAAGTTGCCAGTCGCTCCTTTAAAGTCTTGTTGAAGGCGGGTGGTGGGTAGCCAGCGCACAGCTCTCGAGCCCGGGTATATAAAGGCCGAAGGACGCGCGCCTTTCACCACTGAGTCTCTCGACTGCGGCAACACCTCACGTTAGCTGCTCTCGTCCGCTCCCGTTCCTCACATTCCATTACTTTTGTGTTGTTAATTCTTATCATCCAAAATGGTGAGTATTCGTGATTGTACTGTGAGATTTGCTAACAAATGTGTACGTAATGTTCGTAATTGGGGAACGAGTGAGATCGAATGTTCTTTTGAGCTTGTTTTTTTTGGGTCACGAGATTTATTTTTTATCACTTATAATACTCGAGTACGTCATTGCTGGAGTATGTACAACAAAATCGAATGATATTACTGAGAGATGCCATAATTCTAATCCTGCAATTCGCAATGAAAAGGCACAAAAACGAACTGAAATGTAGCAGATGGTTCTTATCAAAGTGAGATGCCGAGCTGTGGCATCAATGCTGGCACGCCAGGAAGTTGCACTCGCACAACCTTCAATGCTGTACCCACTTATTGCCATACTTTCTCTCAGAGCCTCACTGTTCTGCCAGACCTCAATACTCGGTTAATTCACTCGTTTTCGTAGGAATCGCCCAAGGTATAAACGGGTGCAACTTCATCAAGTTCATGAAGTATTGTAGCTTTCGAGCTCGATATAATGATGCGCACTTAACCAAGTATGTGAGCAGAAGAACTTCACGTACGGTTGAGCGGGTGAGGTTTTAAAAATTCCCGTAAATAGCATAAATCGGAGGTATGGAGTGGAATTACTTAAAATATATTTGACGGTAGAAGCGCATGTTTATAAGTAGTTGTGCATAAATTGAATAAATTACAATGTAACATGTAAATCTTTATTTTCATACGTCGTGTGCGGATTGTTCGTGGTGAACGACTTTCATGAGTTCCACCTATATTACAGATTACAGTCCATGTATGGTATAATTTTCTGTACATTTTATTTAAATTTTTACTTTTTTTAGGCATTCACCGATTGACAAGATCTGAATTTGAATCTCGAAAAGACATGCAAGTGTAAGAATGTGCTCATGCACATCGTTATTTTTCATACGCTTTCTTAATTTAATTTCAGTCGTTACCTTCATCACAAATGATAGTGAAAAATTATTTAATGGACACAAAGGCTTTTTAGGGAAGTTTTAACTGTATATCTATATTTAGTGGAGGCTTGTTCAAGGACAAAAACACGTAGCAATAGTTGATGTTCCGAGTCCACACATCACGGCAGAGCAGAGGAACAATTTAGCAATCAATTGTCACTTGCAAACAAACCGATGACGCAAGCAACTCAATTGCTCCAATTGTCTTCAATTGTACGATCCGTCAGTCTGCGTTCACGTGGCGTACGGTTAAACAGTAAACACGCAGTACTGGATTCAAAATAAAACATGCAGGATATTTTAGTCAATGAATAATGCGTTGCTAACAGCATTTAAATTAATCCTGTAACTCTCGAAGAACAATGTTGTTAATAATTTACTAACATCGATCGTAACACACACGGACACATCACTTACGAGAGTTTTCAATGCTGTTGCACTCCAATGATACCGTAGTCAATTAAAAAATTATATTTTACTGTATTCGAAAAATAAATCATGCCACAACGAAGCACATGAAATTTAGAACGAAAAACTTCAAAGTTTCTGAGGTACATTTTGTGATTTACTGCGATTCAGCTCACTGGTTTTTGTCGTGAATGCCTGTGCGTTCTTGCTGCATAACCGGTTTTTGCCTGGATCGCCGAGCTCGCTGCCTGAATTTCAAGTTCTGCAACCGACACTCACCGGCATGTAATTTTAATTCAAACGAAAGAAATGCCGGCGAACTTCCTGTCTAAATTAATGTGTATCGAGGACGTGTAGAGATATTTATTTCATGTTTCAGGAGTCGAATAAATTTAATCCGTACACAATTTTCAGCATGAGCTGAAATATTGTTGTCGCAATATTTAAATTTTACAGAGCTATAGTTTGGATGAATTTCTACGATAATTATTCAGTTAATTAAATGAAGATTATATTTTATATTTAACATCACCTGCTTGGGTAACTGGAGCGATGGTGTCAGAAGTTAAGTTTGTACACAACTCCATTTTCAGCCACAGTTCGTTTTTATTTCCTCGCAAGAAATTCAATTGTTTCAATTAATTAATCCCAAATACTACATAATCTCTCCAATGTTCTGAATTTTAATTTTTTACCTTTAACTAATTAAAAATTGATCTAATGGTTTTGAAATCGATAGTCAAAATAAAGTTTTTCCAAATATTTTTCTTCATTGCCATCTCCATGTGAGCGGAAAAAAATTCATTATCACATTTTATTATCTTCCTGCAACTGATACTGCCAACATTTTACTTTAAGCTTTTCAATTAATCATTGCTTTGCCAACGGCAACGAGTAACATTTTGCATTCATTCGACAGCGTGAGTGCATCTCGATCCATGTCGGACAAGCTGGAGTCCAGATGGGCAACTCCTGCTGGGAGTTGTACTGCCTGGAGCACGGCATCGCTCCCGATGGTTCCATGCCGTCTGACAAGAGCCTTGGAGGCGGCGATGACTCCTTCAACACGTTCTTCAACGAGACCGGCGCAGGGTACTATGTTCCCCGCGCCGTGTTTGTCGATCTCGAGCCCTCTGTCGTCGGTGAGTCAAAACTACGAAAATTATCGGATTGATTTGCTTGTTCATTCTTTATTTATCATTACTATCACAGTTTTAGTTAAACACAATTGAATGTATCAATAAATCTTGCTTAAGTACGTTTTATTTTTGTTTGTTGGAGTTTAATTTAATGTAAGTTGGAGCATGAAGACCCAGCGCAATGGATAATTGTACGGTATGGAAATTATTAGGTTGCTAATGATAAAATCATGTTTCAGATGAGGTTCGCAACGGTACCTACCGCCAGCTTTACCATCCTGAGCAGCTGATCACCGGCAAGGAGGATGCGGCCAACAACTACGCCAGAGGCCACTACACCATCGGCAAGGAGATCGTCGACCTCGTGCTCGACCGCGTCAGGAAGCTGGCCGACAACTGCACTGGTCTCCAAGGATTCCTGGTGTTCCACTCTTTCGGTGGTGGCACTGGCTCAGGTTTCACTTCCCTGCTCATGGAAAGACTGTCTGTCGATTACGGAAAGAAGAGCAAACTGGAATTCGCCATCTATCCCGCTCCTCAGGTCGCGACCGCTGTCGTTGAACCTTACAACTCCATCTTGACCACCCACACTACCCTCGAACATTCCGATTGTGCTTTCATGGTCGACAATGAAGCTATCTATGATATCTGCCGCCGCAACTTGGATATTGAACGACCTACCTATTCCAACCTGAACAGACTTATCGGCCAGATCGTATCTTCTATCACCGCTTCCCTTCGATTCGATGGTGCACTTAACGTTGACTTGACTGAATTCCAGACTAACTTGGTGCCTTACCCTCGCATCCATTTCCCTCTAGTCACTTACGCGCCCGTTATCTCCGCTGAGAAGGCTTACCACGAGCAGATCTCGGTAGGAGAAATCACCAACGCTTGCTTCGAGCCTGCTAACCAGATGGTCAAGTGCGATCCCCGCCACGGAAAGTACATGGCCTGTTGTCTGCTGTACAGAGGCGATGTGGTCCCCAAGGACGTTAACGCTGCCATCGCTTCCATCAAGACCAAGCGCTCCATCCAATTTGTGGACTGGTGCCCAACTGGTTTCAAGGTTGGTATTAACTACCAGCCTCCTACTGTTGTGCCCAACGGTGACCTGGCTAAGGTTTCTCGCGCCGTGTGCATGTTGTCCAACACCACCGCCATCGCCGAGGCCTGGGCTCGCCTTGACCATAAGTTTGATTTGATGTACGCCAAGCGCGCCTTCGTGCACTGGTACGTCGGAGAAGGTATGGAGGAAGGTGAATTCTCTGAGGCTCGTGAAGATCTTGCCGCCCTTGAGAAGGATTACGAAGAAGTCGGTCTCGACACCGTCGCTGATGATGACGAGCAAGGCGAAGATTATTAGGTTGCTGATGTTTAAAAGACTGTTATCCCGATAATGGTCTTAAAACTGTGCAATGATAACATTTGCCTCTCAAATTGGTGCTATGATTGATGATTTATATTCGGCAACAAAATTAATTTCGGAATAATTTTTAACTGATCTTAAAAAATTCATTTGATTCCAATGGTCTTTCATTTTCACCGAGTGTCGGTAAGCACCAAATGCACGCGAGTTAATATCTGTGTCACATAATAATGTTTCCAAGAGTAGAATAATACAATACTGTAGAGCATTCAACAGTGTGACACTGTTAGTCGAATTTTGATAAAAAAGGTAGAACTTCTGCACGGCAGTTCACAAAATAATAATTATAAAGTACCTTAAAATATTGATCACAAGCTACGATTCAAAATTGCAAAGACAGCATCAGAGGGACCGTGCCCCGATATTGTCGTAACCAGAACCATGGCAGATATTAGTCGATTATTTTCCGGATTGAGACTGACTTCGAGCAGGGAAACGTTTTTAACAGAAGTTTCCTAAGAGATGAGCTGCTCGAAGTTTCACTTGGGTACAATTTGCAATTAACCCAATTTTTGCATATTGAAAGTTACCATCTAGGAACAGATTGTAACAATGTAAGCAGGCTTAAGTAACAAATAATTAGATTCCAAGTTTCAATATACGCGTGAACATAATATCACACACTGTACTAATTAATTAATAACCAAGTAAAAAATGAGAAGTTCGTTGGGGCGGGCAGGACTTATTCTCCGCTTTATCGACGCTCATGCATTGGAGCGAAATAAGTTCGTTTTGACGATGCATTTCAGCGAAAACATAATGATGTCAAAATCGTTTAAATCAAGTATCACCAAATTGGAGTAAATGCGACTAGTAAGATTGAAATTTTCTTTAGAGATTGAAGATATGTAAATGATTTATGCACTTGCGTTTGTTTAAAATTTCATTCGGGTATAATGCAACCACTCATTAACTGTAAAAAGTCAGCATATGGCAAGGCTCACTGGGCAAGTACCCGCGGGTTGCTCAATTTGAATAACATGATCATGACTTGTTTGTAAGTATTTTCAGATTTTATTATTGATATTGCTCTCCCCAAAAATCGTAATTCCAATGTTTGTTTTGGACAAATTTTTGAGTAAAATCGAGGAATGATGTGTATAAAAACCCGAATGACTGTCATTCACGAACGTTTTTGTCAACGTATCAACACTTTACTGTACACTCGTCTTACTCATTATCAAGTTTTAAATAACATACAGAAATAATTGAGAATCATCATATTTAAGTTATCAAGGTCTGAAATCTTACATTTTTATCGATAGGCAGTTTTTGCATAAGATTTGCTGGAATTCCAATTACATTTGGGTCCAGCTATGAAGCAGACATTTGCACCAGTGTCTTTTTGTACTCCAACTGAAATTAAGATTTCACCGAAAGTTTCGATGAGACGGAAGCGACATCGAAGTTTTCTGAAACTAAAATTGCCAATCAATGCGCCAGATTAGTCGAGGTAAAACTGCTTTTTTAAATCAGAGTTTAGCTCGAGTTCGCTCAGCCAGAGAAGCCTGTTAATTGCAGCTTCTCGTTCCAGACACGGAGACACGTTGTATGAGTTATAAGAATTAAACGATGAACCATTTTATTAAATTGGTCGTTTATCTTGGAAACTAGTATTGAATGACTACCGCTCTGCCGGCGCGTTCTGAAGAGACATTAATTTTAAACAATTCTCATCGTGGATGAAATTTCGTACTCTACAACACATATTATTAGCTTTATGCACGGTTATTATTATTACTGTTTTTCGCACTACGAAAGTTACAACACTACAATCAAATATGATCACTGATTGATTAGTAAACATTAATAATATTTTTTCGCATCATTGTGAATGGCATACCTGCGGGTTAGATACCAAATATGTATTCGCTATCCGCATTTCTCAACACATGGAGCTTCAAAGTTGCAGATCGTCAATGTTACGCTCATTTTTACGTATTCTTTAGCCCTCCATGCGGAATGCAATTTTAGTGGCCAGCACTGTCCAACAGCACCTTCCTGTGTGCATGCCATGCTACAGAGTAGAGTAGCCCATGCATTATGTGCTGAAAGCCATTGGTGCCGTTGCTACTGCTGAAGACTGTTGAGTCTTCATGGACTTGCAACTCGAGCATGGCAATACCTACGCACTTACCGCTTCTCTCCACTTAATGCAAACCTAACCCAACCTCATCATTGGCTGCAGGAAGGGGGCGAGGCGGTGTAAGTTTAGAAGTAGAGTAGATTTCACAGCCATGAAAAGTATACAGACGACAGGGGAAGTGGCTTTAGAGTTTCGAGTACAACGCTATCAGGTGTATATTGCGTGGTTTGGCGACTTCGTAGTTCTGACTTCTGAGGCTGAGTTTAGCTGTGTATGTCTAATTAGACAGGATGTTGGCCTCGTGGCTACAAGTTTATGAGATAAATTAACGGCCAACGTCTGCGCAACCATCAATGATATTCGCATCAAACGTAAATTTTATGTTTTTATTTTTGTCTATGCATGTATTTATCGTGGTCGATGCTTTTCGTGTCTAAAGGTCTAGTGACGAGAGTTATCTTCATTGTAGGAAAGCAAATCGCATTCACCATTAGTTGGCACGTCCAGCATCTGAATAATCTAGGACTCTAGGTCTTCAATTAACTACTGTTGAGCATCAGTATTTGGTTGCGGCTCTCGGCTGGTCGGAACAACCACTCATTCTTTCTTTTGGGATTGTTACGTATGCTAGTCAGGCTAAATGTTTCACTTGTACTGCTTTTGAGCATATATTTTATTAAAAGGATGGAATGGAATATTATGCAGAATTAAAATTAAAAAATTATTCTTTAGCGCTATTAAAATTTGAAAGAGAAATTTCCGGAGTTCCTAAGAGACGAACCCCGCCCCATGCAACTAGGTTTATTTCAGTCACTACTGTGAACTGCTCTTAGTGAACTGCTCTGAACTCTAAGGTTTTAACTGCTAATATTGTAAGTTATTCCTTAATGAAAACCCAAGAAACTGTGAATACTACGTCGTTTAGTGATTACTATACATTACATCTAAGAAGTTTATTATGAAATAAGGAACTACATCATGAAGATTAGATCATGGATGGATACGTGAGATTATTTTGTTTTACTGATTAAGTGGTGATGAATACTGATTGCGAAATCGACTGTCAAATAGTCGAATGGACTGTATATTGTTTAACCAATCGGCATTAAGGCAAAGCCCGGATTCCAACAATCCTTGGCATGCATTTGAAATGCACACGCCTGTACTTCTTTGAATCTTTCTGCACACTGAGAAGTAGTACTCTGTTACTTTGATTTCCGATGGAAGTAACTCTTCTTGCAGGTTACTCAAATATTAAATAAAAGATGCTAAAATCCTAGTTGGTAACTCTGGCATAGAGCTCATCATTTATCCGCTTTTCTATTTGAAAACATGTGAGCTTATATTACCGTAAAATATTTAGCTTAAAGGGAATTTTTTTTTGGAACAAATGTTATTGTGTACTGGTTTCAAGTCGAACTGCTCAGGCCGGCATTTCCGAGCAGCCGATTTTTGAAAAGATTGTCATCTGACGAATTTTGTTTCGTTCAAACAATTTTAAAACGCATAAATTCCCACTCTTATTGTCTAATTAATAGTGCAACAGATGAATCAATTTGTTAAAAACAGTGGTTCACAAACCCTATTAGTCATTTGGATACTTATAGGACTTTCACGTCTAACTGCCGTATTGTTTGAGGAACAAAATAATCGAAAATTGTTTCCTGACTTTGTTAAAAAAACACCAAACATTTTAATATTATGTTAATAACTGAATCAAATATCATTAACAAACGCGAAGTTCAAGACGAGATGATAAAAGTGTTGTTTTCCTAGCATTATTTTTTCCGCCTGGAATTAATGACCTGTTGTCAATAGCTTTCTTTCGCTTTATTCAATCCGAACTATGCCTTTACATTCATAGCTGCTCACTCCAATACGTAATAATAAAAATAAAATGAGTTCGATGTTATTTCTGAAACTATTTCTTCTTTCAAAACGGAATAAGCCTGCCCAGCATCCATCCGTCGCTGAACCATGTTTAAAACAACGTAATCAACTCATAATCAACGTCGCTGTGTACAGCACGACGATCTCGCAGCTTAGGAGCGGCGTTCAAACCGTGACTGGTGTACTACACCCATAGACCGTGAGTAGCCAGGAAATAAACTATTAAGTATAGAATCATCGTGAATGTTTAATAACCATAATATAGGGCATTAATCCATGATGGTTGATCCCGTGAAAGAACTGCATTTCGCCGGAATGAACTATTGCGTTTCATGTTGTTCAATATTATCATCATATTCGAATACACAAATATTCTAGCATCGCCAGGGCAAAGCTGATCTCTACAATAGACACTGCATCTTTATCAACTAGCATAAAAGTCTAGTCATATCAAGCATTTTTTTCCTGTTTCTACAAGAAATTTGTATTCTCACTTCTCTCAGGTGATGCCTCGATCTTTCTGATGTACGTTTTACAATTAATTCCTTTTCGTGGTTGCCTCTTTATTAGGTTCTCATAAGACATTTTATAATGTAAAATTATTTCAACGAAAACATTATTGACCATTCAATCGATGATGTACGTGCGTTTGTTTAACGTTTCATTCAGTAGAATGACAATTATTTGGGTGAAGATAGCAACATGAAGATTTTTTTTGTATGAAAAATCTCATAATTATAGCAAAAATAAAATATTGCCTAAAGCAATTGATGTGCGGAATGCTGCTGCTAACACATTGTTATCCCAGAATTATTTCAACGACTATTTTTAAATATTAATGACAGTATTAGAATTTTTTTGATTATTAGATTGATTCATTGACAGGAAACTGACGGGTAATTAACTAAATAAACACAGATTTGCGATTAAATAAACTCTCTTAAGCCGAATAATTAAAGTAACATTGTCGCCGAATGTGGTGTGAACATAGAAATTTTATAATTACTCGCTGCGAATTTGCGTTTCAGGAAAATGAGAACAAAATATTTCTACCGTGGGCGCCTATGGCGTTGAACATGATTGAACCATAATCTCGATGTCTTATAACTGGACCTGAACCTAGGATATCTTCAACATATTGTATTTGTGTAAAATTAAGTCTAATTGTTTCTAGATAGTTCCAAAATTGTCATCAATTGTTGCTCGCGAGGGACAATTTCTGTCAGAAAATTAGTTAATTTGCAATATAAGTGGTGCATGGCTTACAGGTATTGTCTGAATATCAATCAAGGCTTTCATGTAAACTTATATGAATGAAACAAAACAATATTTCTACATCAAAGTTTTACTAGATAAGTACAAATATTTTACTTATGCCAATGTTTCAATTGCAGAATGTTAAGAAACAATGTTCTCACCCATGATACTAAGCTATAATTTCGATGCGAAAAAGCTTTTGTTCACATAGTTGACTTTGTCGTTTGTTGGTAACTCGCAAAGCTGTAATAAGGCCGGTTAATCAAGTTGCGATTAATTTTGATCTCTAAAAAATTAATTTTTAAATCATCTCTGAAATCCGCACAATAGAATTGAGTGATGAATGCACCACTCTATTTAAGTAAGCATTTAAATAAAATATCAGATTTCTTGAACCTTAATCCAATTACTGTCGCATACAAATTTCCGACCATTTAAGTTATAATATAGTTTTATCATTGCAATTTTATCACGTTTTTCCAACTAAATTCCCATTTTCAATTACAAAATAGTTCTGCAATAATTCTAATATTATAGGATGCAGTTTTCATCATCTTTTGCAAATTTGCATAATTTAATTCAACCGTTTTCATTGAAGCGGTCAAGTTCGACCGCCGTGAATATGTCGAAATGAGACCTCAGCGCCCGTCGACCTGATGATGTCTGGCCTTCGCTTTGATGCTACCGAGGCAATTAGATCGCATGATTGCTAGAGCAACGACTCCTGCCTAACAGGGATACGCTAACGCTCGTTGTGTTTGACCACGTATTTTCGCGCCATCGAATCACCGTGACAAAATACACGAAAAAATTTTCTTGGCTGGATTTTTTACTCATTAGCTGTGATTGGATAGCCCTCGTTAGTATAGCGATGAGTCTCCCAGCCTGTACTTTGGAGATCAGGGCTGGATTCTTTACCGGGAAGAATAAGTCTCGTTGCTTTGCTATGGGAACAAAGCAAACAAACAGTAAGTAATACAAATATACAACAAAAATGTACGAATAAATTAATAACATCGATTTACATCAATTCTCATATTAACATTATTCACATATTGCTTTCTTCGTACAGTAATATATAGATATAATCTTCCTGCCACCTGAGACAAGCTCGAAACCAGATCATGTCTCAAAGTATTACAATCGAGCAACTTCATCTCAAATTAAATTACTTCCTTGAACCTGAATTTTTATCAACCAACGTCCACTGAAGAATATTGTTCGATCCTGAAAATTTAAATCAATGATTTCTCTGGTCATTAACCACTCGTGTTTAAACAAGCTTATTCTGCTATCTTATAGTAATAATATATAGTATTATAAAGTTCAATCATGCAAACGTATGGTAAAATTTATGATCAAATTTCTGCGAGAGACAACAATTAAATGACGACACAAATTCACGAACGCATGTGTCTCAAATTATAACTATAATCAAAATAATGATCGAGGTTCTAGGCCAATCATTTAAAGTCAATTCTAAAATTACTGTCATATCCGTTGAGTTTTTTTTAAATTTTTAGAGATTTAGTTTTTTGTTTAATTTAGCGGCAAATGGAATGCTGAATTTTCCAGCAATGCAATTAACGAATGTGCCCTAAACCGCCATTTACTGGCAGTGACAGCTCGTGACAATAATTCTTCACCTAGAAATATTGTGATTGTTTGCAGCATCCACTTAATGTTCATTTTTTTAATTACACGCATTTTAAATTATCCAGGCTCATAATTCAAAATTCACGGGTAAAATTAAAATTTTTAATTATGCTTGAACGTTTATGTTCGTGGGAGCTTTTGTTAAGCACAGTCGCATTGCATAAAAATTTAGTTTAACATATTTGATTTTCATATGAGCTGATGCACAAGAAATGTTACAATGGAAATCTAAAAAATAAATTATGTTTTTAGAACTCAACAAATTGTGATTTTCCAAGACTTAGACTGGGGTTTGAGTGCATTTATTTAATTAAATATTTTAGTTCATACTGCGAGCTAAATAAGATTTAATTTCCCCTATTTTCCATGCGATTAATGTAATTGGCAGACATTTAAGCTGCACAATTTGACCGGAAGTAACTTGAACTACCGCAATGAAAAAATGATGCAAAAAACCTCGAATTAATCGTAACCCACTCTACTGTCACGTTAGAGAGATGCCCTAATAATAAGATCTTGAAATAACATGCAGTAAAAATAACATATTCATCATATCGGAATTGGCCATATTTGGAGACAATTATGAAGTTCCTACACCTATATAAATGACTCCACTACAGCGGCTTTGAGTGATAACAATAAGGACTTCGAGGGAAAAATATAGACATTGAATCAACTCAAGATGGCAAATGTTTCGGTATGAATGTTGATGCGAATAATTGTATTCAATTTTAATTTTACTCCCGGCATATCAACAGTAAATTTTAACACTATAATTAATGAGCATGATAGGGGCGGCCAATCATGGTCAAGTTACCTTATCACTAATCATGTTCAGGTACCCTTACCACTAATCATGGCGAAGAACCTTTACCATCAATCATGCATGGTCAAGCACCCTCAACGCTAATCATGGTGGTACCCTCCCACTAATCATGGTCATATGTACCCTTACAGCTAACTATGGTTAAGTACCTCTAACGAAACAAACATTGACAGCTGAAACAAATCAACTTCGCAATCAGAGAATGTGATTAACTCTGTTCAGGGAATAGTAAATATAACGCGGGACGTGCATAATGGCCATCATATTCAAGTTGAAATAGAACCACGCGGTTTCAAAGTGCTTTTACAGACATTAAATCATTTTGTCTGCTCACGTTAGCATTGATTTTGATTTAATACCATTCAATCATTGATAATTTATTATTCATTGAAAGAAAACCGAGAAAGTAACCTGTCGTCAGCGAAATTCCGTTTTGCGTAACAAATTTGAAAGTAACTTGATAATAATCTAATAAGGGAGCGCGGGGTAGATATTGTTCAGTATTGGTTTCATTTCTGCGACTGAAAATCTTTTCTTTATTTTTGAAGTAGCGAAAATTGATATAGAGGTGCTTTAAAAGTCTTTGGTTACTTATAATGTTTAAAAATTATTTACTAATAACGGATATTGGGATTCAACATATAAGAGAAATGATGCCTTGGATCTCTGAGAACATTAAAAAATTAATCAATAATTATGATATAGCCCATAATTGGAACATATACAAGCGACTAGAACGCTTAAAGCATTCTAATATCACTCGGTTGTAATAAATCTACGTCAGTATGACTGATAAAGAATAATTTTTAATGATCTGATTCTCATTTGACATTTGAATTTCCCAAATTAATTGCGTCCTCACAGAAAGACAACATCAGTGCATCAATTTTAATTTCTTTTTAAAAAACTTCATTAATTAGTGAAGCTGATGAAGCCGCACGCGGTCGCGCGGGACTCAAAAGAAGAGTCGTCAATAGGAAGATCGTATCATGCGTACCAAGCGTAATTAATACACCAAATAATCGTATGTATAATGTGTTCTACCGTAGTACCAAGTGTTCCACATTAGTACCAAGTGTTCCACATTAGTACCAAGTGTTCCACATTAGTACCAAGTGTTCCACATTAGTACCAAGTGTTCCACATTAGTACCAAGTGTTTATAGCGGTAAGTTGGTTCTACACCGCTATAAGCTAAGTCAAACGCGATGAGGGATCTTAGAAGAAAAACTAATCTAGAGAGACGCGTGTTTGGAGAGTGTATTTAAGTGTATGTATCCGTGAGTTGCACCTGTAGAATGAATACAATACATATAGAATACAATACATATTAAGATGAATACATATTAACAATACACATTAAGATGAAGTCAATATTAGGTACAATCAATATACAAGTAAATATTACAGTTTTGAGGAACAATCTAGGAGCTATTTAAGAGCTTACCCCAAACGTTGGAGGACAAGGCAGTAGTGCGGTTACAGTTAACGGAACTTACGAAGAAAGAAAAAGTCAATTTAGAAGTAGTTCGGATGTTTACGAAAGGATTGATTTTATTCGAAAATTTGAAGATTTAACTACTTAAAACTAAGATTAACATTGGATGTTCCTACATGTTCCACATTAGTACCAAATGTTCCACATTAGTACCAAGTTTTCCACATTAGTACCAAGTGTTCCACATTAGTACCAAGTGTTCCAAGGGCTCCAAGCATACCATGTGTTCCAATTGTTCCTAGCGAGCTATGTTTCCCAGGCATAACAAGCGAAACAACATATACCAACGTTACAAGTGTTAGAAAGGTACAAAGCGTACCATGATTAGCAAACGTACCCGCGTACCCTATCTACTAAAGCGTACATACATATGTTCCAAGCGTATTATGAGTACTGTCTCTACCATGAGTACCTACAAAGACAGAATTTTATTAGGCAGTTTCACGCAGCGGTGAAAAATCTATTCCTTTACCATTTCGAAGATTCACAGTGACTAATAATGAAAGTTTATAATGACTGACTTTATAATAATGAAAGTAAGTAATAATGAAAATCAGTTTTAGTAACAATAAATAATGTTGCAGATACAAAGAATGTATTTTTAACGACTTATGATGCATGAAGTGATTATTCCCAACATATACTGCATAGATTTTTTCAAGTAACCTCCTATGCACTGTCAAACCATGAAAAAATATATTGTAATTTGGCAAAAAATAATAGGATAATTATCCAGCTTATGTCACATTACACGTTGGACGCGTGGAGGAATATTTTCCAGCACTCGGAAATTTAATGGGTAATATTGTCCTAAAAATGACACACTTACATACCAATGATGAGCGAAGGACAGACGCAGCACTGACGTACCGTTTTATCGAGTCAAACTTGGTCATTATGACTCACAAATAAGTTAAAAAGGCACTGCTACATAGTCAAAGTCCTTTCGCTTCTGCGCAACATTTTCATATTATGCAATAATTTTCCTCACGCAATTCATTAAACACTTCTAGCCTATTTCGAAATCTTTAGGCTCAGCATTTGAAAAAATCTGGTTACGATGTTTTGATTTAGAAACTGTGCTAAAAAGACGGGCGATACCAAATTGGAATTGATTTTTTTGTTGAAATTGAGCGCACGTGGCAAAATCTATGTGTCCTCAAGTGAGGAATTCAATGACGCGTTGAAATCAATGACCGTCAAATGCTCAAAGTCCGACCTTTAATAAGCGCGCTCAAGAGTCGCATGGACTACCGAACTTGATGCTTATGTAAATATTTAAATAATGTAAAATAATTATGTGATGTCAACTGATTAATTGTTGTAAAATAATTAAAAGTTGCAAAATAAGAAAATTGTTTAAACAATCGAAAGTTGTAAAATAATATCATTAAATATTATCAAATAATTGTATTCTGTGAAATAATTAAATATTATAAAATAATTAAGTGTTGTAAAATAAATAAATGTTCTTGTTGTTCAACGATCACCTTTAACAAGTGCACACATGCCACCATCACACGTGGATAGAAAATTAACCGACGTGCGCCGGTGCAGGTTTTAGATCTTCTTTCCACCACTCAAGTCTGCTTGATGAACCTCACCTGGGATGATATGTCTATAATTGATTCAAAGACTTTAACCATAAAGTCATTTTATAAAGTTTTTTGGTTATGGCTTAACTATGCACATTTTCACTAGCGTTACAACTTTATTACCGTAGCTAATTGTTAAAAAGTAGCTTATGAAACTTTGAAATTAATACATTTAGGGGCTGACAATATTTTGCCCAAATGTTTGATACTTCGATGTTGTTTCGACAGCTTCCAATTTGAATTTGAAGACTCTACATTTTTAAGATTTTTCGTCTTGCATTTAAAGTACTTTCGAATCTGTACAGTAAGGATATCAGTAAGTTGCTCCCAGTCTTCCGAACTATAATTGGACCGGACCAACAGCTGCCGAGCTAATTTCAAGTGCAGAATTTGTACATATGTTCTTTTACATGCTATTATATTGATTAATTTCAATTATTTTTAACCAAATTTATTTTACTTATGTTATTTTCTCTTATAATTTCTCGAAATCTTCGTATTAATCTCATTCGATGCAATTCTAGACTTTGTTATTCTCATAATTTCAGTGTGAATTCAAATAAAATGAAAGCCACGAGTCTATTTTCAGTGAACCTGATATAGCATTCGAAAGTTGAATATTAAAATCCTCGAAATTTTTTTCTTTCATCATATATCGTTTGTCTGCATGTTAGGAGATTGGCACTGGAAATATTCAATGGATTTTCGAGCGTTCATCTACAATACCAATCGTCTAGAATGCAAACAATCTTAGTAGAAGTGAAGAAATAAGCAAGTAAAAACGGCTCATGAGATTCATTATAAGGTTTTCTCAGGTTATGAAAATTCATTGAAATCAACTCGCGAAATCCAAAATTTCATGTTCCCTCATTCTAAAGTTGAAATGAAATCCTTCATTCTAAAGTTCTCAAATAAATATCGCGTAGAGTCGTAGACAATAAATAACAGTGTCTTATTACACTACACATAATAATATTAAAAGTGGTCATTAGATAGCTGCGAGGTTATCTATCCTAAGCTATACAGGGGTCGCCTGCAATAGAATTACAATGGACAAAAGAATTGGTGATCCGCAGCTGCGTGACGTGTCATGGCTTCCTGTTCTGAGTATAGCGTCACTATGAGTAGTTTATTATTATAAAACTTATTTATTATATGGCTTATTTATTATATGGCGTTGGCGCTCCAAGTATGAACGCGTTCAAGAACAGACTAGATAAAGCTATGGAAAAATATATGTTCAGATTTGAAATGCCTAGCTCCTTATCGAACCCGGTGGAAGTCTAGTAGCTACTTCAAACTATCGCCAGTCATGAAAAGATCCGGTCAAATGACACGAGTTTAGATCTATGAACAAGGCACGAAAAGGAAAAGAATCGGCGACAGGCCACATCAGGCCTACACTTCAGCGCCGTCATTACTATGTTATGTTATTAGAACCCTGACATAATATGTGGTTTGCTAGCCACATTACTTATTATGTGGCTGCTTAGATTCTAGGCTTATTATGTGGTTAGTTAGCCACCTGCTTTTTAATTGTGGTTTATTAGCGACCTGGCTTATATGAACCCGATGCTGTTATTTAGCGATCTGGAATATTATGTGGCTTATATTTGCCACCTGGCTAATTGTATGGTTTATGTGCCACCATGCTTATCATGTAACTCAGTCGCGACCGATCTAATCATTATGTAGCTAAATGAGGCCCCTTGCTTATTGTGAGGCTTAATTCTGTACTTTTTACAACACTTCTCTTTAACTTCACTTCTTGCCTGTCTGTCTGTCTGTCTGTCTGCTACAAATCTTGTAATCGAAATTTAATACACTTCTACTTATCCTATCGATCTGAAATTTTGCACACTTGTGTAAAGTTGGAGACAATGCATGAATCAAATGTCAAAATAAAAGATTTTAAAAATTAATTTTTAATTTGAAAATTAAATGAGAAATTCATAGTACATTTGTAAGATTAGAGACACTGGATTCTTTGGAAGTGTTGTCTTTAAAAAGTAATTTTTAAACGCATATTATTTATTTTTTGTTTATTTTTTAAATTATTTCATTTATGTGTTTTTATTACAACACTTCTCTTTAACTTCACTTCTTGCCTGTTTGTTTGTCTGTCTGCTACAAATCTTGTAATCGATTTTTAACACACTTCTTTCTCTCCAATCCATCTAAAATTTTGCACACTTGCTCAAAGTCGGAGACAATGCATGAATCATTTGACAGAATTTATAATTTTAAAATACATTTTTTTTTGTAATTTAAAGAATTGAAAAAATAATTTTTTCTTCTACAAATCTTATAATCGATATTCAAAACACTTCTACCTGTGCAATCGATCTGAAATTTTGCACACTTGTGCAAAGTTGAAGACAAGGCATGAACCAATTGACAGAATAAATAATTTTGAAAATTTATTTTTTTTTCATATATTATTATTAAAAAAATTAATAATTAATTTCTATTAATATATGGAAATAAAATTAGAAATTCATTGTAGATGTGTAACATAGGAGACACTGTATTCTTTAGAAGTGTTGTCTTTCAAAAGTAATTTTTAAACGCATAGTATGCTCCTCAGTTCAAAAGTACTAATATGTTAAAAATTCCATAAATCAACTATTTATTTCAGTGAGTCTGCTTGGAATTTGAAGTATGTACCTCCTTGAAACTTTTTGGTTTTGTTTTGCGACGATAAGATCATTATATAGTGAATTCATACTACGTAAACTATAAAAACTCTAATATTGACATGCACAAAATTTATCTGTGAAAATATAAGCTGTAAAGGATATAACGCATCCGTATTCAGGATACTCTAGGTTTGACCGCGTATATAAGTCCGCTTCGAAGTGAAATTTCAACGCTGCGCCGAATTTTTGTGATCAACTCGCTTCCTTTTCGAAACGTCCCAAGATGTCTAGAGAAACTTCAAGCCCTGGGAACTGCGAAGATCAGGTTTTGGAGGAACAAACCTTAGACTTACTGGCAGAATATGAAGTACTGATAGAGCAACGTGGTACATAAATTCAATACTTGGATTAAATCAACAACAAGGCGCATCTTTTTCGTGTTCGTTATCAGCAGTTCCTAGAGAAGTGCAGAAAACTTGCTAAAATCTACGATGACCTTCGGACGGAGAGATTTTGGGGCGATGTCGATGATTTAGGTGATAAAACGTTGCAAGTTTTATAGTAACCTGGAAAATTCGGACGCCGACATATCTAATATATTATAGAGGAACGAGAAAAGCAGGAAGCTCGAATAAATATAAGAGAACGGCAGATCGGTCGCGCTAAAGACGATTAACGCGAATAAAAGATAAAGGCTTCGCGTCTCCATATGAAAGCTCAAATCTACTTAGACATGAAGTAAATACTGCAAAATTTCAAGCAAGGGTTTTGAAGGAACGGATGACATAAGTTAAGCGGGAGCTAACTACTGATGTCCACCAACGATCCCTTGCCTCTGTAGGCATGGTCTCAGTAGACGGTCCAGGCAATGCC